AACCGTGAGGTCGTGACCTGAGCCTGAATCGAGAGTCTGACGCTTCACCAACTGAGCTCCCCCAAGGTGTTGTTTTCTTACTTCGTGGGATCGTTGTGAGAATTGCTTCAGTTAAACATGAGTATCTAGAATAGCGTGTGGCACTTGGTACAAGCTAAGGGGGACCAGAGTTCGCGGTCCACTAGCAGTTTCCGCCACATTTCCCATAATGCCCCTGAGCCTATGGGACATTTAGGGAGTCTTCCCAAGGCCACACAAACACACCATCATTCCACCATCTGGCTGCCTGTGGTGGTTTTGGAATACATCCACAAATTCTTCCCTTCGAAGGGTGGAGACTAATTCCCTTTCCCTTGAATGGGAGCCAGACTCGATGGCTTAGACTCGATGGCTTGCTGCTAACAGATAGAACATGGTAGAAATAACGGGGTGTGACTTCTGAGGCTAGGTTACAAAAGACATTGCTCCTGGGGGCGCCTGGGTGGCTCAGTGAAGTAACCCGCTTCGGCTCAGGTCCCTTAACCGACTGAGCCACCCAGGCACCCCTATACTCCTTGTTTAATCCTCGGGCCAACTTGTAACGTAGGGACTCTTGTCACTTCATTTTACGGATGAGGAAGCCGTGGCACAGAGAGGTTACCTAATGTACCTGAGGCCACCCAGTAATTAAGTGCAGGAGCTTAACGATTAATTCATTCAAACGCAGGCAGCCGGACCCACCCCAGCAGTTCCCTTAGCCACCTGGTTCACACAGAGCCAGTGTTAGTCGTATTTTTTTATTTTATTTTTTTTATTTACTTGTTTTCAGAGAAAGAGCACGCGAGCAAGCGGGGAAGGGCAGAGAGAGAGAGGGAGACAGAATCCCAAGCCGGCTCCGCACTGTCAGTGCAGAGCCCGACGCGGGTCTCCGCCCCGCGATCCGTGAGGTCGTGACCAGAGCCGAAATCAAGAGTCGAACACTGAACCGACTGAGCCACCCAGGCGCCTCAAGTTTTATCTATTTCTTTTTTTTTTTTTCAACGTTTTTTATTTATTTTTGGGACAGAGAGAGAGACAGAGCATGAACAGGGGAGGGGCAGAGAGAGAGGGAGACACAGAATCGGAAACAGGCTCCAGGCTCTGAGCCATCAGCCCAGAGCCCGACACGGGGCTCGAACCCACGGACCGCGAGATCGTGACGTGGCTGAAGTCGGACGCTTAACCGACTGCGCCACCCAGGCGCCCCAAGTTTGATCTATTTCTTAGTTAACTCCGCTCTGCACTCCCACCCACAGTCTTTTCCTTCCCTGCCGGAGCTCCCATTCCGGCCTGTTTACGTGAATCCTTTTGTTTACAGGTGTTCTTCCACCCTGCACATTCTTGGAGGGATGTATGAATCTTTCATTTATATCACCAGTATTGGGTGGTAGTTCTGGCTCTGCCCCTTACTATTTTCACTTGGGTCCGTTCTGGTTGCTTCGTGCACAGCCTAGTCCATTGCTTCCTGTGGCTGCAGAAGCCTCCGCGCTGCACACTCCAGGGCACGTCCTCGGTGACGGCCCCCAGGTTGCCTTTGACGCTCCCATCATAAACGACAACACTGTGGTTGGGGCACCTGGGTGGCTCCATCAGGCTTCAGACTTCATCTCAGGTCATGATCTCACGGTTGGTGGATTCGAGCCCTATGTAGGGCTCTGTGCTGACGGCTCAGAGCCTGGAGCCTGCTTTGGATTCTGTGTTTCCCTCTCTGCCTCTCCCCCTGCGGGTCAACGTGAAAAAAATTTTGTTTAGATAAATAAAAATAAACAACACTGTGACGAACAGCATGCGCCCGGTGGGCGAGTTTGAGAACTTCTTCAGCCTCTCCACCAAGAAGAGTGGAATCGCTGGGCTGTGAAATCTGCAGATGTCTAATTTAACGAAGTTTTGCCAAAATGCGCTTTAACGTGGCTGGATTATCGGAGAAATAAAACCGGTTCTGCTTCCTGATTCTTCCCGCCTCCGACCCGGACCTGAGGCTTTGGTGCTTAGAAGCTGTGGCGTTTACAGCCTTTGTTCTCCTACCTTTGTTTTCTGACAACTTCTTAGGGCGGACGGCCCCCTGACTCGCTGCGTGCCTGGAGCACGGGGATGGGAGAAGAGGGAAGGCCTACAAGTTTCCTATCTCCGCTCTCACCTCAAAGTATGGGCTCCGCGGCAGTAGCTACGATTTTAAGTGGCTCCTTCTGGGTAGGCGAGAGCAGCAGGAAGTCATGGGTGAGACTCAGGTCGGGGAGAGGCATTGCACTCGCGTGTGAGCTCCCCCTTGTGGTCTGATAGCCCATTACACCTGGTGTGATTTCCCCCGCACCAACCCGGCTAATCACATCAACTGAAATGGTACCTATTGGACACCATCTTTAGGCTGGACCAGCGATGTCCAATTGAAATGAGTCCCACATGTAATTTCAAAATTTCTGCTGGCCATATTAAGAAAGCAAAAAGAGGCAGGTGACTTAATTATAATATTTTATTTAACTGATACCCAAAATGTTATCATTTCAACCTGCAACCAATATAGAAATTACTGAAACATTTTGCTTTTTTGTCCCCTTTGGTACCAAGCCTTTGACACGTTCTCGGGATAGCACATGTCAATTTGAACACTAACTCTTCTCTAAAAACACTTGATCTCTATTTAGATTTCATGATATTTACTGCTGAGGAAGCAGAGTCACATAGTCAAGTTGTTCCAAACATGTTGAAAGATTTCCCAGTAACTGAACTGAGAATCCATTTTTAAAAATCTAAGTTTAAATCAATTACAATTAAATAAACTTAAAAGTTCAGTTTCGCAGGGGCCTCTCCGTGGCTCAGTTGGTTAAGCCTCCAACTCTCGATTTTGGCTCAGGTCATGATCTCACTGTCATGAGATCGAGCCCCGTGTGGGACTCCAAGCTGAGTGTGGAGACTGCTTAGGATTCTGTCTCTTTCTCTCGCTCTCTCTGCCCCTCCCCTGCTCTTGTGCTCTCTCTCTCCCTCAAAAAGAAAAACAAAAAAATCACACCTCATTTCAAGTGCTCGACAGCCACATGTGACCAGTGGCTTGCACACTGGAAAGCACACACATTGGTTCACACCATTTCACCCTTGACATAAAGCAGGCATATTATGACTCCCCATTTACACGGGAGAAAATTGAAGCCCAGAAAGGGAAACTGACTTTTTTTCATTTTTCTTTCACTCAAAAAATACTTATTGAACATCTATTGTATGCCGGGTTCCTTCCAAGGGGTTAGGGACATAATGGTGGACAAAATACACACAGTTCCTGGCCTCAAGGGGTTTGTTGGATGATACGTGAGAAAGACAAAAAAATATTATCGGTTGTAATTAACGTGAGGACAGAAACCAACAGGATAATGAGTTAGTGGCAAACTATGGTTCCCCCCCCCCCCCTAATTATTATTACATTTCTACATGGTTGAAAAGAGTCAAAAGAAGAATAATATTTGTGACATGAAAATTCTATGGAATATACATTTCAGTGTCCATAAATAAAGTTTTATTGGAACACAGCCCACCCACTCATTTCCACATTGCAACCTGGCCTTCAAAAAGTGTGCTGATCCGTAAAGTAGGGAACGACAAAGGTTGACGTGCTTTATAGGGGGTAATCTGGGAGGACTTCTCAGAGGAGGTAATATGGAAGTGGAGGAGTTAGGAGGCATTTGGGAGGGTTGAATCAATCAAATCAATGTTAAATGTCCTGAGTGCAAATTTTACAACTCTAGATATTCCAGATACCTCCTATGAAAGGAATCAGACAGTATGTGTCTTTTTGTGACTGGCCTATTCCACTTACATAATGGCCTCAAGGTTCATCAATGTTGTAGCCTGGCAGAATTTCCTTCCTTTTGGAGACTGAATAATATCCCGTTGTAGGTATATCCCACATTTTGTTCACCCATTCATTAGTCAATGGGCACTTTGTTCGCTTCCACAGTTTGGCTTTTGCTAATAATGCTGCTGTGAGCATGGGTGGACAAATATCCCTGAGCTCTGCTTTGAGTTCTTTGGGGTATATACCCAGAAGCGAAATTTCCAGATCTCTCTAGATTCTTTTTTTTTTTTTTTAATTTTCTGAGGAACCTCCATACTGTTTTCCATAGCAGTTGCTTACATTCCCACCAACAGTGCACAAGGGTTCCAACGTCTCCACATGCTTGCCGACACTTGTTATGTTCCGTTTTTCTGATAAGTAGGCATCCTAGTAAGTGTGAGGTGGTATCTCATTGTGGTTTTGATTTGCATTTCCCTGTTGCTCAGAGATGTTAAGCATTTTTTCATGCACTTATTAGCCAGTCGTCTATCTTCTTTGGAGAAATGTCTGTTCAAGCTCCTTGCCCATTTTTCTATTTATTTATTTATTTATTTATTTATTTATTTAATTTTTTAGAGCAAGATAGAGTGAGTGGGGGAAGGGCAGAGGGGGGGAGAGAGAGAGAATCTTAAGCAGGCTCTACACCCAGCACAGAACATGACCAGGGCTCAAGCTCATGTCTGTGAGATCGTGACCTGAACCAAAATCAAGAGTTGGACATTTAACCAACTGAGCCACCCAGGCGCCCCAGGACTGCGTCCATTTTATTCAGTCTACCTCCAGCAGCGGAGGCTCCACTGGAATTTGTTGAACAAATGAATGTAAACTCCATGTGAACAGAGACTGTTAGCCTCTGCTGCATATCGGGTGCTTAGAACAGGGCCTGGCACATAGCAGGGGCTCAAAAAACACGGGTTGCGTGAATGAATGTAAGATCCAGGAGGGCAAGGCAGAGCTCTCTGTTTTTCTAGACTCTCTCCCTAGCTTCTAGAACCTCGCCTGGCACATAGCAAGTGCCCAGCAAACAGGTGCCTGCGCACAGAGTATTTCCACGCCCGCCCCCCACCTCCTCCCTGACCCCGCCCCCACCTCCTCCCTGACCCCGCCCCCACCTCCTCCCTGACCCCGCCCCTGCTTGGGGGGTGGGGCCGGCCAGGTTCTCACTCCAGGACGTCACAAAGGCCCTGCCATGCCTCTGGCCCTGGCCCTGCTGCTGCTGCTGGGCCTGAGCGGTCCCGGAGGCCGGGGCTGCCTGCAGTGTGACCACTCGGTGCAGGAGGCCCTGAGCCAGCTGCGCTTGGCCCTCGTCCCCAAACGCTTCCATCAGGAGCGGCTGCAGGCCCGCGCCCGGGCCCTGCTGCTGGGCATGGAGGGGCCTTTCTTCCGGGACTACGCTCTGAACGCGTTTGTGGGGAAAGTGGGTGCGTGCTGGAGAGGGGAGGGTGCCTGGCACAGCGGGGGAAAGGGACACGTGGGGGGTAGCGAGGCTGGGGTGGGGAGACAGGCGCTTTGGGGACCACAGTTCCCGAGAGGGGAGGGTGGGACCAGTCCTGGAGGAAGATTGGGGGGGGGGGGGGGAGATGTCCCTTGGCTCTCTGAGGGACCCACTGGAATTTCTTCCCCTCTCGCCCCCAGGGATAGATCACCTGGAACACGTGGCGTCCTTTATCAAGAACCAAACGAGCCACTTAATGGTTAATCCTCTAAAAGGTAGGCGCTAAGGGGGAAAGCCTTATCCCAGCCCCCTTCCCCGGCTTCCCTTTCCACAGGTCCACCCCGCCTCCCCTTGATATAAACAAAACAAAACAAAACAAAATAAAAACGTGCATATAGCCTTCGGTGTGTGTCTGGCAGGATTCTAAGTGTTTTACTCAAAAAAGTCGAGGACAGTTCATCACCGTGGGCACGGCTGTGATCTGCCCTTTACAGAGCCGGAGACTGAGGCTCAGAGAAGTTAGGTGACTTGGCCCAAGAACACAGCTCAGACACTGCAGTGCTAACCCCCTTTCCGGTTTTGTGGTCGGTGGCCCCAGGGGGTTGGTCATTCGAGGGGCTGAAGGTGAGGTTTGCTTTCTTCCCCACGCTTGTCAAACTGCTATAGTTTTCCATTTCTCTTCCTTTCTCTTCCCTCCATCCGTTTTTGTTTTTTTTTTAAAGAGGAACCTGAACACCAGAACGCTGTCCTAAGCTAGGGGGGGGGTGGGCAGGGAATTAGGTCCTCCTCCCATAACTTTGAGAGAAGCGTAGCCGGCAGAGCAGAGGCCCTGAGGGTAGATTCAAAGCCTGGCTAACCTTAAGCAAGCTATTTAACTTCTTTGTGTCTCAGTTTCCTCATCTGTAAAATGGGAACAAAGCCAGGCCAACAGTAAGTGCTCCACAAATGCTAGCTAGTAAGATTCTTATGCCGTGCCTAGCCTCTACGCCTACGGCACAGGTTGGCAAAATACAGCTGGGGGCCAGATCTGCCAGCCCCCTGTTTTCGTAAATAAAGTTTTATTAGAACACAGCCACACGCTTTCATTTACATATTGTCTACAGCTGCTTTTACCCTCCCAGGCAGAACTGAATAGTTGTGACAATGACCGTCTAGCCCTCAAAGCTGGAAATATTTATTATCTGACCCTTAACAGACAAGGTTTGGAGCAGGAAGGCTCGTTAGAATCCCCCAGAGGGGGTGCCTGGGTGGCGCAGTCGGTTAAGCGTCTGACTTCAGCCAGGTCACGATCTCGCGGTCTGTGAGTTCGAGCCCCGCGTCAGGCTCTGGGCTGATGGCTCAGAGCCTGGAGCCTGTTTCCGATTCTGTGTCTCCCTCTCTCTCTGCCCCTCCCCCGTTCATGCTCTGTCTCTCTCTGTCCCAAAAATAAATAAAAACGTTGGAAAAAAAAAATTAAAAAAAAAAAAAAAGAATCCCCCAGAGAACTTTTAAAACATTCCAGGGGCACCTGCGCGGCTCAGTCAGTTGGGGCGTCTGACTCTTGATTTCAGCTCGGGCCATGATCTCACGGTTCATGAGATCGAGCCCTGTGTCGGGCTCTGTGCTGACAGCACGGAGCCTGCTTGGGATTCTCCCTCTGCCCCTCCCCCGCCCTCTCTGTCTCTCAAAATAGATAAATAAATATGGGGGGAAAAATAAAAAGATATGGGGTGCTTGGGTGGATCAGTCGGTTAAGCATCTAACCCTTGGTTTCGGCTCAGGTCATGATCTCACCGTTGGTGGGTTTGACCTCGTTGGGCTCCATACTTTCCAAGCAGAGCCTGCTTGGGATTCTCTCTCTCTCTCTCTCTCTCTCTGCCCCTCCTCTGCTCACTCTCTCTCTCAAAATAAATAAACTTAAAAAAAGAAAGAGAGAAAGAAAGAAAGGAAAGAAAGAAAAGGAAGAAAGAAAGAAAGAGAGAAAAAGGCTCCTGGGTGGCTCAGTCGGTTGAGTGTCTGACTTCGGCTCAGGTCATGATCTCACAGTTCGTGAGTTCGAGCCCCGCATCGGGCTCTGTGCTGACAGCTTGGAGCCTGGAGCCTGCTTGGGATTCTGTGTCTCCCTCTCTCTCTGCCCTTCCCCCGCTCATGCTCTGTCTCTCTCTCTCTCTTTCCCAAAAATAAATAAACATTAAAAGAAAAAGAAACTCACTTTTTTCAGTAGGCTCTATGCCCAACATGGGGCTCCAACTCATGACCCCAAGACCGAGTCACATGCTCTACCAAGTGAGCCAGCCAGGCACCCCAAGAAAGACACTGTTCACAGCCAGGATATCCCAAAGGCCTGGAGGAGCCAAACCTTTTTGGGGGATGTACAGGGTTTGAACGACCCGGACTCCTGAGTTAACCCTTTACTGCACAATATAATGTATCAAATGAAGACAAGTACTATGGAGAAAATACTGCAGGGACAAAGGGAGAGGAGGGGGTGGTAGGGGTAGGGTGGGGGCTGCAGCGTAAAGCCAGGCAGCCCGGGGTGGGGGGGCGTCACTGACCAGTCAACATGTGAGCAGGCCTGAAGGAGAGGGGTAGAAGGCCGCAGGCAGAAAGCGGTTACTACAAACCCCTGAGCCAGGACTATGTTTGGCATATTCACAGAACCTCAAGGAAGCCAGGGAGGCTGGAGTAGAAAGAGGGAGAGATGTGGAAGATGAGGTCCCAGAGGTAAGGGGGCGGGGAGGGGTAGATGGGGAAGAGGCTTCTAGGCCATGGTGAGGACTTTTGGCTTCTATTCTGGGTCACATGGGAGGGCTCTGAGCGGACGCGGGATATGGGTGAGCTGACTGCGTCCCTGTGTCCCTCTGGCTGTGGAGGAGAGATTTGAGCAGGGCAAGGGGTAAGAAACTTTAGTGACAGCCCAGGCAAAGAGATGATCACGGTGGGAACCAGGGCGGTGGCAGGGGAGGGGATGGGAAGTGATGGGATTCCTGGATCTACCTTGGATGTCGAACAAACAGGCTTTGTTGACGTGCATGTTGACAAGCGCACGGCACGCGGGGGTGTGGAGCCGAAGCGCCAAGGCTTTGTGCTGAGCCATTAGAATCAGGTGGCTCCCGTCTCCTAAGGCGGAGAAGTCCTGGGGGTCGGGAGGAGGTTTGAAGGAGAAGATCAAGGTTCCGTTTGGGACTTCCTGAGTGGAAGGTACCCATCAGACATCCAAGTGGAGATCCTAAGTGGGTACTTGGCAACCTGCGTGCGGACTTTGATGAGGGTCTAGGCTACTGATCGAACGTGGGGGGCATCAGTGTGTAGAGAACGGCGCTGTCCAGTGCAAATATGATGGGAGGTGCACATGGGAGCCACACGTCATTTTAAATTCTCTTGTAGCCACGTGTTTAGAAGGGTAAACAGAAGCAGGGGAAATTAACTTTTATTTTGCTTAGCCCCATACCTAAATTACCATTTTGACGTGCAACCAGCATAAAAATTGTGGAGGTGTTTTATAGTTATTTGATTCACACCAGGCAGAGTGTGAGCGGCAGAGAGAGGGAGACGCAGAATCCGAAGCGGGCTTGAGGCTCCAAGCCATCAGCCCAGAGCCCGACACGGGGCTCGAACTCACGAACCGCGAGATCATGACCTGAGCAGAAGTCAGATGCTTGACTGACTAAGCCACCCAGGCACCACACAGCATGTTTTATACTAACGGCATATCTCAATTCAGGTCAGCCCATTTCGAGTACTCAATAGCCACGTGTGGCTAGTGGCCGCCATATTGGACGGTGCAAGATGCAGGTAACATACGAAGCCATGAGCCTGGATGAGGTCAGCTGGATGAAGGAGTGAGTGTGGACAGAGAAGACAGGAGAGTGGATCAGAAGAAAGGAAAGGAGAGGTGGCCAAGTTCACCCTCCTGCTCCTTACCAGATGAGGAAACTGAGGCCAATGGAAGGTGGTCCGCCTGGAGCGCCCACCGTGGGTCAGGAGCTAGGTGCAGGACCTTCCAGGCCACGGATTTGCCCAGTGGACCTGAGTAATACCCGGTCTTGGTTACTCCTGGTGAATGAAAAGGAGTTTCCTCATCTCTTTGAAGCTGCAGACGGGCTTGCTGGGTGCCTCCACCCCACGAGGATCTCTCTGTCTCTCCTCAGATGGGCCTCTGCTGGAAGAACTCGTAGCTCTCAGGGGGAGAGTAATCAAGGAACTCAAGAAAGTCTTAAAATTGTACGAAGCAAAAGGTGAGGCATCTCTCTCCACCAAGCTCCCCGCCTCTCCCCCATCATCATCCCATCCCCTTCTCCTACTTTTTCTCCCAAATTCTTTGCTCAACCCCCTGTGACTCAGCCTTCCCTGCCTCTCCCCAATATTCCCTGCTCTCTTTCCCCCCTGGTCCCTTCCCATCAAATTCTCAGATCGCTCTCCTGACTTCACTCACTTCCGCTCTTTTCTCTCGCAGCCTGCAGCCGCAAAATTTGCCGTGAGTCCTGGATTTATCGTCCCTTCTCTACCCTCCTTCACCTCTTTACCCTGTCTCCCCCAAGTCAAGCCCCTCTATCATCTGCTCCGTCTGACGGTTCGTCCTCCTCCCCAAAGCTCTAGTTAGTATCCAGGGATCACTGATTTTTTTCTTTTTAATTTTTTTTTCAACATTTATTCATTTTTTGGGACAGAGAGAGACAGAGCATGAACGGGGGAGGGGCAGAGAGAGGGAGACACAGAATCGGAAACAGGCTCCAGGCTCTGAGCCATCAGCCCAGAGCCCGACGCGGGGCTCGAACTCACGGACCGCCAGATCGTGACCTGGCCGAAGTCGGACGCTTAACCGACTGCGCCACCCAGGCGCCCCAAGGGATCACTGATTTTTGAGGGATTGTGGAAGTGGTTGCAACCTGCAAAAAAAAGTATTTGGCGGCGGGGGGGGGGGGGGGACGTTAGTCTGATGGGATAGGCCATGTCATAGTAACAAATAAACCCCACATCTCCATGGTTTAACGAAAGATTTATTTCTCTCTTACCCAAATTCCATTGAGAGTTGAACAGTTCCTCCAAGTGCTGTCTCGGGGATACAGCCTGCACCTATGTTGCAGCTTCTTTTAAAACTTTTTATTTTAGAAAGAGCCCAAGCCGGGGAGAGGGGCAGAGGGAGAAAGAGAGAGAATCCTGAGCAGGCTCCATGCTCAGCACAAAGCCCTCCCTGGGGCTCAATCCCATGACTCTGGGATTGTGACCCGACCAGAAATCGAGAGTCAGATGTTCAACCAACTGAGCCACCCAGGCGCCCCTCTGTTGTGGCTTCTAAGGTAGCTTCAGTGGGGGAGAGAATAGAGAAAACTCCTACAGGGACTTTAATGGATTGGCCAGAACTCTGGTCATATGGTTGCAACCTACTGCAAAGGAGCCTGGGAAATGTAGTCTTTTCATGCGATAGGAAGTGGAGGAGACCGATCAATGTGCATCTAGCCAGTATACGTCACCAGGGGCTGCAAAACAGGAGTGTAGGAATGCAAATGTTCTATTTGTAGACATTTAATTAAACATTTGTTTAGTTAATCGAATGTCTACAAACAAATGTTGGTCAACTGGACAACTGCAATTCAATTCAACTCTTCAATGATTATATAATTTTTTTTTTTTTTTTTTTACTTTTTTTTTCTTTAGAGAGAGAGAGCACGAACAGGGGAGAAGGGTAGAGGGAGAGAGAGTGAGAATCGTAAGCAGCCTCCACGCTCAGTGCAGAGCCCAACACGGGGCTCCATCCCACGACCCAGGGACCATGACCTGAGCTGAAATCCAGCCAGATGCTCAGCCAACTGAGCCACCCAGGCGCCCCTATGTAAAATTTATTTATTTATTATTATTATTTTTTAATTTTTTTTTCAACGTTTATTTTTATTTTTGGGACAGAGAGAGACAGAGCAGGAACGGGGGAGGGGCAGAGAGAGAGGGAGACACAGAATCGGAAACAGGCTCCAGGCTCCGAGCCATCAGCCCAGAGCCCGACGCGGGGCTCGAACTCACGGACCGCGAGATCGTGACCTGGCTGAAGTCGGACGCTTAACCGACTGCGCCACCCAGGCGCCCCTGTAAAATTTATTTTTAATGCGAATCGGTGCATTGTGCTCAGCTTGCTTGGCTGCACGTGGACCCTCCAAATCCAGGAGAGCCAAGGGATGTCATGCCCTCTTTCCCCTCTGCCTTCCTGCTCTTTGCCATTCCTCTGATACCTGCCCTCACCCCACTTCTCCCTTCCCTCCTGCCCAGGCTTGCTAAAAGAGGAAGTCTTGGACTGTTTACATTGCCAGAAGATCAGTCCCAGCTGTATCCAAAAAAAGTACTGTTTTGGTAAGCTCCTGGGGGGTGGGGGAGACAGGGATGCATGAGAGGTGAAGACAGCCGTGACCCCGCAGATAATGGGTTTTGAGTTCTCCCACAGGGAGCCTTCAGTCCTGCACTCACCACCTGCTTACAGTGGCCCAGATGTCGCTTCCACATTCCGAAATTTGCGTTCCCCCACTGTGAAATAAGGAAGACCCCACTGTAACTTTATCTTTATTTATTCTTTTCTTAAACGACTTTTAAAATATTTTTTTGAGTAATCTCTACACCCAACGTGGGGCCTGAACTCACAACCTGAGATCAAGAGTCATATGCTCCACTGACTGGGCCAGTCAGACACCTGTAACTTTAAAATGTCTCGGGGCGCCTGGGTGGCTCAGTCGGTTAAGCGTCCGACTTCGGCTCAAGTCACGATCTCGCGGTCCGTGAGTTCGAGCCCCGCGTCGGGCTCTGTGCTGATAGCTCAGAGCCTGGAGCCAGCTTCGGATTCTGTGTGTCCCTCTCTCTGTCTGCTCCTCCCCCATTCATGCTCTGTCTCAAAAATAAACATTAAAAAAAAAAAATGTCTCTACTGCCAGATGGCATTCTAGAAAAACATTCTTAGCCAGTGCCATACCTGGGGAGTCCAGAGGATCTGCTGAATTCACTCACTCACTCATTCATTCATTCAGAGATTTTTTTTTTTTCAAAGTTTATTTATTTTTGGGACAGAGAGAGACAGAGCATGAACGGGGGAGGGGCAGAGAGAGAGGGAGACACAGAATC